TGCTCTCTTGAGGGTCATTATGGCTCATTTCAAAGGTGTGTTGACCCAGATGCACAGAAAACAATAGACTGGGCTTGCTTAAGGCAAAGATAAGCCTTTTACTAAAACTTATAGGCCTGGGGCATGACTACCCACCATGACCTGCCCAGTTAGGAATTTATGATCAAATCACCCTGTGAGATGACTTTCCATAGAACCCCTTTTTTCATCCACACAAGACTCAGTGGCCTAAAAAAACAGTCATTTATTGTAGTGATCTTATTTCGTTCAGCTGATCTAAACTGGGTTTGGCTGGGGCGACTTGGCTGTCCTCTCCATTTCTCTCACCCTCCTCTTGGGATCATCAGGCCAGTCCAAGCATGTTCTTCTGCTGGCCATGGCAGAAGCACGAGAGCACAAGCAAAAACTCACGAGGTCTCCTGAGGTCTAGGTCTGGGGCTGGTACGCCAGCACATCTGCATTTCTTCTATTATGTTAAAATGCACATAAAATTTACCATTTTAACCATTTTAAGTGTTCGTTAATTATATTCATAATTGTTGTGCAACCATCACATTCTACATCTCCAGAACATTTTCATCATCCCAAACTGAAATTCTGTACCCATTAAATAATAACTCCCGATTTCCGCCTTCCCCCAACCCCTCGGAATCACTATTCTACTTTCTGCATCTATGAATTTGACTACACTAGGTACCTCGTATAAGTGGAATCATATATTATTTGTCCTTTTGTGTCTGGCTCCTTTCATTTAATATTTTCAGGGTTCATCCATGTTGTCACATTTACCAGCATTTCATTCCCTTTTAAAGCTGAATAATATTCCATAATACATTTATACTACATTGTGTTTATCTATCCACCCATTGATGGACATTTGGGTTGTTTCAGTTTTTTGGCTATCACGAATAATGCTGCTATGAACATTGGTGTACAAATACCTGTTTAAGTCCCTGCTTTCAATTCTTTTGGGTACATATCCAAAACTGGATCTTATCGTAGCTCTACATTTAATTTTTTGAGGAACTGTCCTATTGTTTTCCACAGTGGCTGCATCATTTTATATTCCCACCAACAGTGTGCAAGGGTTCTAATTTCTCTACCAATGCTTGTTTTCTGTTTTGTTTTTTTTTAATAATAACCATCCTAATGGGTGATAAGTGATACCTCATTGTGGTTATTATGATTTGCATTGCTATAACAACTAGTGATATTGAGCACCTTTTCATGTGCTTTTTGGCCATTTGTATATCTTTGGAGAAATGACTATTCAAGTCTTTGCCCATTTTTAAATTTGGTTGTGATTGTTGAGTTGTAGTACTTTATGTATTCTGGATATTTATCCCTCATCAGATGTATGATTTGCAAATATTTTCTCCCATTCTGTGGATTGCTTTTTCAATCTGTTGATAGTATCTTTTGCACAAAAGCTTTCAGTTTTGATGATCTCCAGTTTATCAAAATTTTCTTTTGTTGCCTGTACTTTTAGTATCAGAGCCAAGAAATCATTGCCAAATCCAATATCATGAAGCTTTTTCCTATGTTTACTTCTAATATCTTTATATTTTTAATTCTTAGATTTTGACCCATTTTATTTTTTATATATGGCCTAAAGTAAGGATCCAACTTTTTTTTGCACATGGATATCCAGTTGTCCCAGCACCATTTGTTAAAAAGACTGTCCTTTCCCCATTGAATGCTCTTGTCACCCATGTTGAAAGTTATTTGACCATATACGCAAGAGTTTATTTCTGAGGTCTCTATCCAATTGGTCTATATGTCTGTCTTTATGCCAGTACCATATTCTTTCGATTACTGTGACTAATAAGTTTTAAAATCAGAAAGTGTGAGATCTCCAACTATGTTCTTTTTTTTTTGAGATTGTTTTGGCTATTTGGGCATCTCTTGAGATTCCATATGAATTTTAAGATAGATTTTTCTATTTCTGCAAAAGAATGTCATTGGGATTTTAATAGGCATTGCATTGGATTTGTAGTTCACCTTGAGGAGTATTGACATCTTAACAATATTAGGTCTTCCAATCCGTGAACATGAGATCTTCCTATTTACTCATATTTTTATTTCTTTTAGCAGTGTTTTGTAGTTTTCAGTATCCAAGCCTTGCCCTCCTTAGTTAAATTTAATCTTAAGTATTTTATTCTTTTTGATGTTATTGTAAGCGGATTGTTTTCTTAATTTCCTTTTCAGATTGTTCATTGTTAGTGTAACATCTGACTCATTTTATTGGCCAAAGTAATCACATGGTCAAACCCAAAGTCAGGAAGGAGGTGGAGAAGTAACCCCACCCATCATGGGAGGGCACCGCAAAGTTACGTCACAAAGTAAATCAATACAAGGCAGAGTGAAGAATTGGATCTTATAACACTATATCCCACACTGAGCTTCCTAGGCAGACTTTAGCATTATTTTTCCAGGGTCTTTCTTCAAAGTAGTCGGCTCCAACCCCTTCAACCTACACAATTATGCAGTGAAAGTGGGGTCTGGGGAGGGGGAGGGAATGAAAGGAGTGAGCAGATAAAGGAAGTAGGTAACAAGGTGCCTAGGTAAATTGCTGGTGCCCAGCTGAACAAGCAGTAGGTATGGAGGTAAACAGAAGGCAAGGAATCAGAAGGCCTTCTTCTTGATCTTGGGAAGGTCTCTTAACATCTCTGAGCCTCAGTTCCTCCTTTGATGGTGTGCTAGATGATCTCTAAGGGCCCTTCCTGTATTAACTCTGCATCCTATGCCAATTCTAACAGTGCTGCCCCAGAATAGAAAACAAACCAACATTGGAAAATCCACTCTCTATACAGATCCATAGGCACACATATCTGTGCCAGTGGCCAACTATGTGTCCCACAGATCTCCTCATCTTCTGCTTTACATTATAGTTTTATTAGTGTGCTTTCTTTTTTTTATTCTGTACCACCTGGGATTTCCTTGCAAGAGGAAAGATAGTCTGAACTATCTTAACTGTCCCCAGAACAGTAGTCACCAAATAGATTTTTTTAACTGAACTGAGTGAAAACCTCCAGTATCTTTTAAGTTTAATGATTTATCCTGAGTTTTAAACTTCCAAATAAATTTTCTGTGGAACCTAAGTTGCTGGGGACACAACAGCAAGTTCAGCAAGTACTCTGAATTTATTGGAAATGAGTTTTCTCCTCCAAATGCAACTGGTTTATTTTGCTAATTCTATGCTACAACGCCTTTAGTAGACACAATACCTCGGTTTAATATTTTGGAATTTTAATGTATTGAAATATGTTCAGTGACCATGTAAATATGTAATATTGTACATGTCCAATGCAAGCTTAGAAAAAGTTGTCAGAAGGCCAAGGTTCTTGACTTATAGAGAAATGAGATCAGTGTTTAAAAGTATTTTCCTAGTCTCTGTTGAAAACTTTTGGCTTGAAAATCATATAAAGAGTAAAATGAAGGCATATATTAGACCTTTCCCAATTAAAGTTTTATTCTTAACTATTACTATATAGTATGTATTTTTTTCCAACTTATTGCATTTGAAGAAGTGATTTCTTTCAGCATAAAATCAGTCTAGGAACTAATTAACTTGAAAAAATGATCAATGAATGAATATTAATTCATTTTTTTAAGTTAGTACAAGTTCATAGAGAGAAATCAGCACTTTGTGTCCTCCAAGAATTTTTACTTACCATTCTTTGCTGTGTATAATGTGCTCCATGTGTAATGCACACCCCCACTTCTTTGGCCCAAACTTTCAGAGGAAAAATAATCTTTCATTTTAATTTTTTAATTCAAATTTTTATTTGTTTATATTTAGATACTTGTTTTTTGTATTATAAAAGAATTTTAGCATTTTTTAACATACAGTACAAGAAATTTTATGTAACAAATAATTGGGTTGTTGGAAAAGTCATGACGTATTTTTTTCTATGTTTTTCGTTGTAAAAATGTGTCATGACTTTTCTGACAACCCAATAATTACAAAACACAAGAACAGCTACAAGGTACAAGAAATTTTATGTACTGGTAACAAATTTACGATATTTACGCATCATAGAAGGCCAAGAACTCTTCCTTACTGTCAATATCAGAAGTATCATCTTCTTCAATTTCTATATTAGTGGTGTCTTCTGAAGAGTCCCTTTCCTCACCCGGGTAAATTTCATTGTCCTTGGTTCCATCCATTGCATTGCTGATGCCACATTTTTTAAACAATTTCACGAACACTTCCTTCTTGACACTGTTTCACGATTTTAGGATTCAATCACAAACCTGGGTGATGGATGCTTTCTTGATTCTGCCTGTAGGTGTTAAATCATTACCAGCTGACTGCATCCACGACATCCACTCTTTCTTCATTAGGGCCTTAAAGGGCTTGTTTACCAACACATCAAGAGGTTGCGATTGGCTGGTTAGCCCACCAGATATCACAGCAAGTTGGATTTTCAAGTCTTCGTTTCATTTCGTTGAATCATTAGCCAAAATTGCTTTCATTGAAAGTTCATAAGTTCAACAAAACAGATGATCATATTCCAGGGTACTTTTGGGTTGTCAGAAAAGTCATGACTTTTTTTCTATGTTTTTCGTTGCAAAAATGAATCATGACTTTTCGGACAACCCAATATTTTGCATACAGATATCGTTATTAATTTCTAGAGTTACACTTTTAAATCATAAGCATAAATAAAATAATTAAAAACATTTATATAGATACAGAATTAGTACTACCTATGTATAATATGCATCCTTATTTTTCCCTCACAAATTTGGGCAAAAAAGTGTGCATTATACATGGAAAAATACGGTAACTGAATGAGTAATAGTCACTCTCCCAGAATCCCAAAAAATAGAAATATCTCCTGTTTGCTTGGGAATGCAGACCTAAGAAAAATGCCATGGTGAAGGCCATATTGTACATATGGCCCCTAGAGCCATGGAAACCCTAAAACAACTCATCAAGAATGTGTTATTTTTGGCTCTACCAATGGCTTACTTCTCCTCTCCTCTCCTTTTAGGCTGCCCTGTCAAAGGTCACCCTACCCCCAATATCACCTGGTTCCATGGTGGTCAGTCAGTTGCTACTGTCACAGGATTGACACATCACATCTTGGCAGCTGGACAGATTCTCCAGGTTGCAAATCTTAGTGGCAAGTCTCAAGGGGAATTCAGCTGCCTTGCTCAGAACGAGGCAGGAGTGCTCGTGCAAAAGACCTCTCTTGTGATCCAAGGTAAGAAACCCTTTGGGGTTTGGATGCTGGGCTTGTTTCTTGAACAAGAGAGAATCTTAATTCTCTAGTAGACAAAGTGATTTCTGATCTCCAGTGGTTCCTAGAGCATGAAAACTGAAACTAAACCATGTTTCCATAATGGAGCCACTGGGCCCTGCCCATACAGAACCTGGAAAAATCAGTGCTGTTTTCATAAATGCGCCCTTCTGCTCAGGGACCAAGGAAACATCACCCTATAGCACAGTCAAATGTGTTTCCTTTATGCTAAGTTAACTAGTAAAGAAACACACACACACACACACACACACTCGCACATGTAAAGTAGCCTCTTAAGAAAATACAAATTTTCTCTGTTGGTTTGGTTCCAAAATACCTCTTGATTTGAACCGCTTGGTTATTGCAACTTCCGGTCATCCTGAAGAGTTTTCAGCTGTACTCACGTGCTGAGTGCTTTCCAGGCGCCTTTCCCGTGGCCCCTGTCAAAGAACAGACTGAGAAGCCTGTGTGACTGGTGCATTAACATTCCAGGAACACGGGCAGGTCAGAAAGCCCTTGGGCAGGGCCTGGCATTTGCTGTACCAAGAAAGTTATGAATAAACCCAAAACAGCGGGTGAGGAGTCAAAACTGGCCTTGTTATAGAAACTGAGTGAGGCTTTTAAGTTTTCCGTAGGCTGGTTCTACCTGTGACCTATGTGTGACACTTTTAGAGAAAGCAAAATTCTGCATGAATGCTAAATGGAGGATTCTGTGGCAAGGGACAGATTTTTGGGCCAATATAGCACATGAGAAGGGAGACTTTCTAGCACATGGGTTTCTCCCTTACACATCCTCCCCTGCCTTTTTCCAAAGAGTAAGTGTTCCATTTTCTCTGCTGAAAACCAGAAGCCAGTGCTTCTCTGTAAAATTTGTAATGCACAGCTTTGCACATAAGCACTCGCAGTTTACCAACCCACAGTTATTTTTAACAACTTTTCTACCAGTGAGCCCCAGACCCCCAAATAGAAACTCCAAAGAAATTGCTTTTCTTAACTGACATCAGTGTCTCACGTCAATGAGTACTCTCTGGATGGGCTGGGGTATTTTTGTAACATCTACAAAGTCTAACTTGAATCTGCAGCTTTAAATATGATTGTTAAGTATCTCTGATATTTTTACATCTCTTTGTTGAAAAATAAAATTTCTTTCTGGTGAGCCCGTAGGAAAAAAAAAAAAAAAGAGCACTTTAGGAGGTATGTTTAAAAATAGTAAGTGCTACAGCCACTGATTAAGTGCTCTCTGTGCCAGGCACTGGGCTCGGCCCTTTACCTTCATTTTCTCCAGGCCTCACAACTTGATGAGTAAGGGCTACTGTGCTTATTTTATGGGTGAGCCAACTGAGGCCCCTAGAGACCACGTGACTTGCCTAGATAGGCTGGGAATAGAGCCCACTGAGGGGCAGAGCTCATGCATAGCACTCACCCTCCCTCCTCCCCCACTGCCCTGCTCAGAAGGAATAGCGAGCATGGGAAATAATGCTGCGTGCTTTTTACCTCTGATCCCCTTTCTGTGACAGATTACTGGTGGTCTGTGGACAGACTGGCAACCTGCTCGGCCTCCTGTGGTAACAGGGGGGTTCTGCAGCCCCGCCTGAGGTGTCTCCTGAACAGCACAGAGGTCAACCCCACTTACTGTGCAGGGAAGGTTCGCCCTGTTGTGCAGCCCGTCGCCTGCAACCGGAGAGACTGCCCTTCTCGGTGAGTGTAGCCAAGGCTGGCTCGGGCCTCTCAGCCCCCAGCTGGGGCCCTGACTTTTAGCCAAGTTGGTAGCCAGCCCTTGTCTAGCACTATGCAGGGAGAGACGCCAAGTGCAGGTGAGGGGGCCTGCCCTCCAAGGAGCTGTTCTTTCGTAGATACACAGGCTTGTCAAGCCTCCCCACCATGCAGAAAATACCCCTTCGAATGTGCCTCCTCCCTTATCCCTGTTTGTTCCCTCAACACATCCCAAGTGCCCGAAAGGCTCTGTTCAGGGAGCAGGGTCATCCCATCCTGCAGGAAGAAACTGGCTCTCTGTAAGACAAGAAAAGCATTTACAGTTCAAGTGCTGAGGGGATGGACAGTACTGGCCTTGACCCCAACCTGTCCCCTTTCTCCTAACTTTAAAAACCTGTGCTAATCAGTACTCCAGTTTACTGGAAGAAATCTTGTCCTCTTGTTTTCCACAAATAATAGCATCCTGCTAAAGTTGTAATAAGTCTCCATTTCTTAGAGTTGCCTCAATGTTGGATATACATTCTCTGTATTTGGGTCCCTTATAGAGCCCAGAATGACACGCATGGCCTCTGCCTCTCACATCTTCCTCCAGCTTTAAGAAGCTGAGTCCCGACTGAGCAGGTCCACTGCAGCCTTCAGGCGCTGGCTAAAGGGATAATGGGTGGGCTTAGACTTGGCACCAGCATGGCACCCTGAGTCTTGGGGGACTTGGCTGGGCCCTGAAATGCCCCTTGACTACCTATCTGTAGGACTTTCATACAGCTACTTAGGCGACCGCTTTTTGTGTTTTGCCAGCTGAGTCATAAGGAGCAGCTGAAACCAGGAGAGACTCAATGAAATATGAAACATACTCATTAATATCAGCAGTTTGACTTGCTGACAGGAAGGTTTCCACGGGAATGATTAATGTCCTTTTATACCCTTCCTGAACTGTAACATAGCCCATACCTCTCTCCTCTCAACCTCCCACCCCAGCTCCTGAAAAATTGCTGAAATGTATATTTGGAAATAAAAGTTGATTGAAACCCAGGCCTGACATTCACCAGGGATATAAGAGCCTGGAAGACTGCCCTTGCCAAGCTGTGTGAAATGAAGAAGAGGTCTTGGACATGCCAAGGACTTTTTGATTTGCTGTGGTGATGGTCAGAGTCAATCAGCCTCATTTACTTCTGCAAATGCAATAATGGCTGTGTCTGCACAGGTTTCAGTGCCCCAGGAGCTTTGAAACACCTCGTGCCTGCTACCTAAGCGGCCCTGTTCCTGTGGGTTGCAATTCTGCACACAGTCCTCTCTCTCCAGGGCAAATGGAGCAGGAGAGTTCCACCAAACTATTGAAGTCACAGGTCCAGATGCAGGAGGAATTTTCTCCCTGTCCCTGCCACTTGCCTCTCCTCAGAGCTACATGTGCCATCATTGGACCAGGAGGTGGCCAAAGGTTAACCTTTGATGGTTTCCCAACCAGGCCTCTTGGGCACTTTAGCAGCCTTCTTTGCACATACAAAAAATGTGTCGCCCTGGTCATCTTTTTGAATAGCTGTGGGAAGTCCTGCTTTGACTCAGATAGGACCATTTCATTTAGATACATTTTTTCTCAGGCAATAAAACCAAAGAATGGGTTTTTTTGTTTGTTTGTTTTTCTAGATTGAGTGAAATGGCTAGGCAGCACCAAGTCTTTTCTCACTAGTTTTTCCCAAAATTTCCCTCCTTCCCCTCCTTTTTGAATCATCCCAGGGTGCAAACGTCCAGAGAGAACCCTAACATGTTTTTATATAGACCAAGGATTTCAGTGTTTCCCAGCTGACAGCTTAGTTTTTGGAGAAAAGCCATTTGTCAATGTCTTGGTCAGTCTCACTTCCAAAGATCTGAATTGTAGTTGGAACCTAACCTTCTGAGAACATCTACTTTCAGCCCTTTAAGAGGTATAAGACCTATAGACTGTGACTCATGGAGGTGGAAAGTTGCTCCAGAAAGCTGGAAGGAACTTTGCATGTTCCTGAGAGATTAAACAAAACCTAATGACACATGAGTTAAGGCGAGGTAGAAAATACAGTGAGTGCTAGCAGATGAAATGTTAGCTTAAGTGAGACCCACAATGCCTCCTGGGTCAGGAGGTAACACAGGCGTGGCTCTGACTCCGCTAGGACATTGTCTCACCTCTGCCACACACTGGGGTGCCTTTAGGAAGTACCAGAACTGCAGTGCAGTGTAACTGGCTCAAGGACTATTTCCCCAGAGTGTTCCATCTGCAAGCTCATGGCTTTTGGGGTCAGTGTCAAGCTGAGGCAACTGATCTGCAGAATACTCTTTCAAGATGCACCTTTTTAGTCAATTTCTGAAAGGTATTTGTTTCCTGTGGCTGCTGTAACAAATTACCACAAACAGGGTTGCTTAAAAAAAACAGAAAATTTATTCTCTCACAGTTTTGGAGCCCAGAAGTCCAAAATCAAGGTGTCGGCAGGATTGCACCAACCCCCTCCCCGCCAAAAGGTTCTAGGGGAGAACTTGCTCCTTGGCCCTTGCAGCTTCTGAGGCTCCAAGCATCCCTTGGCTTGTGACCACATCATCCCATCCTTTGCCTGTGTGGTCACACTGTCTCCTCCTTTTCTGTGTTCAATCTCCCTCTGCGTTTCTCTTATAAGGATACCTGTGATGACATTTAAGGCCTACCCAGATAACTTAGGATAATCTCATCTCAAAATCCTTAATTATATCTGTAAAAACCCTTTGTCCAAACAAAGTAACATTCACAGGTTCCAAGGATTTGATGTAGATTTCTTTTGGGGGGCCATTTTCCCCTATGCCATCCCAAGGATATATTGTGAAAAGGGCCATGCCCCCCGCCAATTAGCTGTGTGGTGAGATCAAGGAGGTGTGGGGGGCTCTTTTTCTGAGAGCATACAGCATCGTTCCTCTCCCCAGTGCCCAACCCTTTGCAGCTGCCCTGACTTCTCTTCCTCTCCACAGGTGGATGGTGACCTCCTGGTCCGCTTGTACCCGGAGCTGCGGAGGAGGCATCCAGACCCGCCGGGTGACCTGCCAGAAGCTGAAAGCCTCTGGGATCTCCACTCCTGTGTCCAATGACATGTGCACACAACTCGCCAAACGGCCAGTGGATACCCAGGCTTGTAACCAACAGCTCTGTGTGGAGTGGGCCTTCTCCAGCTGGGGCCAGGTAAGAAGGTTTTATTTCAAAGGTAAATCTAAAGGTGCTGACCCTGACACAATAGGAAGTAAAATGACTAGTATGTGATCTATCCTGGAAACTGTTCCATGTGCACTTGAGGAAAATGTGTCATCTGCAGTTTGGGGATGAAATGCTCTATAAATATCTATTAAGTCAAATTGGTATAATATGGCATTTAAGGCCATTATATCCTTATTAATTTTCTGTCTAGATGATATGTCCATTGAAGTAAGTGAAGTATAAAGTCCCTGATTATTATTGTATTACTGTTAATTTCTGTCTTTATGTCCATTGATATTTGCTTTATATTCTGGATGCTCCTATGTTGGGTGCATAGGTATTTACAATTGTCATATTCTCTTCTTTAAAATTATGTAATATGTCTCTGTCTCTTTTTACATTCTTTGTTTTAAAGTGTATTTTATCTGATATGAGTATTGCTACCCAGCTTTCCTTTCATTTCTATTTGCATGGAATGTCTTTTTCCATCCCTTCACTTTCAGTCTGTGTCTTTCAATCTAAAGTGATTTAAGGCAGCATACAGATATGTCATATTTTTTAATCCATTCTGCTGCCCTGTGTCTTTTGATTGGAGTTTTTGGTCCATTTATATTTAAAGTGATTGTTGATAGGTATATGCTTTTTGCCATTTTGTAAATTGATTTTGGGTTGTTTTTGTTTTTTATTCCTCATGCTGTTGATCTCTTTTGTTTTGATTTGTTGGCTTTCTTTAGTGTTTTGATTGGATTCCTTTTGCTTCATTTTTTGTTTATTTTTTCCATGTTTTTGGTTTGTGGTTACCAGGCATGAGTGTGTGTGTGTGTGTAACTATATCTCCATCTATTTTAAGCTGATAGGCATTTAAGTTGAAATGCAATCTAAAAGAACTACATTTTTACTCCCCCCTCCATTGTTTTTGACATCATGTTTTATATCTGTTTTGTGTTTCCCCTGATTATTTATAGTAGCAAAATTAACTATAAATACAATAGTCTTTTAACCTTGCTTTTAGTTTTTTAAGTGGTTGATTAGCTGTTATTGTATATTTGCCTTTACCAGTGAGATTTTTTTCTTTCCTATATTTTCTTATTTCTGGTTATGGCTTTTTCATTTCTGTATAGAGAGACCCTTTGACATTTTTTGGAAGCCTGGTTTAATGGTTGTGAACTCCTTTAGTTTTTTGCTTGTCTGGGAACTCTTTATCCTTCAATTCTGAATGATGACACCTTGCTGGATATAGAATTTTAGGTTGTAGATTCCTTTCTTTCAACACTTTAAATATTTCCTGTTACTCACTTCTGATCTATAAAGTTGCTTCTGAGAAATTAGCTGATGGCCCTATAGAGACTCCCTTGTATGTGACTTGTTCTTTCATTCTTGCTACCATTAAGATGGTCTCTTTATCCTTAACTTTTGCCATTTTAATTACAATATGTCTTGATATGGGTCTCTTGGGTTCGTCTTATTTGGAACTCTGCACTTCCTCTGGACAGGGTAGCTCTGCTGGCAGGTACCGCAGTGTTTTTCTAGCCCCACATTAAGCATCACCCTTCCGTACCTGCTAGATCAGTCTCCAGGTAGAAGGGCCTCTTGTGTGCAGGAGGTGATCTCCTGTTTCTGCTGGATCTAGCTCTAGGTGGGGTGACTAGGGAGGAGCTACAGCACCCTGCAGGTCAGCCAGAGAACCTGGATGGAGCTACCTCCTTATCCATGTGCAGGGGAAACATCAACAATGGCTGTCACCAGTTCCCCTGGCCCTGGGTTGTTCACTCAGCTTCCAGAAAGCGTTCTCAGTTCCCCAACCTTCCCTGTGCAATCTCTCCCTTGCTTGTGCAAAAGCTGTTCAATTGGCTCACAGCTGTCTTTTAGAAGGAATTGCTCTAAATATAGATGTACATTCTAGGTGTTCTTGGGCGGGGGCGAGCTCAGCGTCCACCTACACCACCATCTTGGACCCACTAGAATGTTTTAGAATGCATATACTGTGTTCAAAATCTATTGGAAACCCACTGAGCATTTAAGAGCAGCCTACCAGCACTAATAATCAACTAGTACCCACCAACTGTGTGGGAACAACTACTGTGGTCTGTTGGAGGCTGGGGCTTCTTGAGAGGATGACCTCTCTGACTGGTCAGGCATACTTTCTGATTGGTTGGTGTCTGAACCATACCATTAAGCTTGGCTAGCTGGGATACCCCCAAACAACCACAAGTCTCTTAATTATTTGTGTAACTATATGAAATGATGTGACTGAATGCTTTTTGGGCAGTTTGGCAACTCAATACTTGTTAGAACTGGCCATCTACACATTGCTGCACTCATGTCCCTCCATCCCGATGTCGAGGTGTGTTCTTTGGAAAACAATCACTTGGAACTTCCTATCTAGTTAATACACTGTGGCCATCTCTAATGAAGAGCAAATGTTATTTGGGAAAAATGTGGCACTTTTGGGGGGGAAATTCACTTGTAACGCATAAGCCATTTGTCCCAGGTGAGTCAGGGGATAATGTTCAACATTGGCCAATCAACACATTTGGCCAGAGGCTTCTTTTTGGCGCCTCCACCAACCCCCACTTATTTCCAGTGACCTAATGTATGTGCTTCATAATGAAAGAGGCATGAGCTCCCCCTTGCCCCCACGCCTGGGGGATATCATCTTTCTCTTACCTGGAAAAGCCCACTTCTGATAGCTCTCATTCAGCCCAAGGCAGCTCTGCTTTTAGGCCCTCAACTTATTGGCAGTTTGTGAAATTACAATTGGGAACAGATCTGGCTACACATGGGAGATGTTTCTGCATTGTATCATTGAGGTCACTCAAGGGGACATACAGTGCACATTGATCATTCTCGGTAATTATTTTTCCTAAAGAGAAAAATAAGTCTTTCCTGTCAAACACTCTCAACCCCTTCTTCTTTTAAAACCCTCTAGGCAAGTATGTCTCAAGCTTTAATGTGAATCACCTGTGGATATTGTTAAAAATGCTAATTCTGATATGGCAGGTCTGGAGTAGAGCTATGGAGGCTGCGTTTTTTTTTTTATTGAGGTATAATTGACATGTAACATATTAGTTTCAGGTGCACAACATAATGATTCAACATTTGTATGCATTGTGAAATGATCACCATAATAAGTCTAGTTAACATCTGTCACCATATAGTTACCAAAAAAAGTTTTCTTCTGATGAGCTTTTAACATCTACTCTTAGCAACTGTTGAATATTCAATACAGTATTATTAAATAGTGACTATGCTATATATCTCCATGACTAATTTATAACTAGAAGTTTGTAAGTTTTGACCCCCTTCACTGATTCTGCCCACCCCCTATCCCCTGCCTCTGGCAACCACCAATCTGGACGCTGGGTTTATTTATTTTTTTTTAGATTCCACATATAAGTAAGATCATATAGTACTTGTCTGACTTATTTCATTTAGCATAATTCCCTCAAGGTCCATACCTGTTGTCACAAATGGCAAGATGTCATTCTTTTTTATGGCTAAGTATTATTCCTCTGTGTGTGTGTTTGTGTATGTATTCCATTTTTTGGAAACTTAGCTCGTTTACATACCTTGGCTATTGTGAATAATGTTGCAGTGAACATGGGGATGCATAGATCTTTTTGAATTAGCGTTTTCAATATTTTTGGATAAATACCCAGAAGTCAAATTGCTGGACCATAAAATAAGTCTAGTTCTTTATGAACCTCCATACTGTTCTCCATTGTGGCTGCACCAATTTACATTCCCACCAAGAGTGCACAAGGATTCTTTTTCCTCCAGATCTTCACCAGTACTTTTGTCTCTTTGATAATAGCCATTCTAACAGTATTGGTGATGTCTCGTGGATTTGCATTTCCCTGATGATTAGTGATGTTGTGCTCTGTTTCATATACTTGTTGGCCATGTAAGCCTTCTTTGGAAAAATTTCTATTCAGATCTTCTGCCGCTTTTTAAATTGGGTTGTTTGGGTGTTCGCTATATTCACCCCTTATCAGATATACAATTTTCAATTATTTTCTGCTATTCAATAGGTTGTCTTTTTGGAGTTTTTGTTTTTTCTTTTTTCTTTAACTTTTTATTAAGAAAAGTTGTAAGTATACATAAAAATGGCGACACTGATACAATGAACCTCCGTATACTTATGCCCCAGCTTAAATATTTATCAAGTTATGGTCAATCTTATTTCATCTCTTTAACCTCACTCCCAAAATATTTTTCAGCAGATCTTCCCCTTAGCATTTTTCTATACATACTTCAGTATGTATCTCTAAAAGATAGACTTCTCTTTAAAATATAGTCATAATATCATTACACCTAAAAAAGTAATAATTTCTTAATCATTAAGTATTAGCTTTTACATTTCCCTGATTGTTTTGTAAGTCATTTTTAACAGTTTGAATCAAATCCAAATAAAGTCTGGATATTACAATTGGTTGACATCAGTTAAGCATTTTAAAATTTCTAGGTATGTTTTATCTATCCTTTTTTCCCTTACAATTTATTTGTTGGAGAAACTAGGCCATTTGTAGAATTTCCCATGGTTTGGGTTTTTCTGATTGCTTCCACTGGAGTTTTTTTAGTGGTGTCTTATGGTGTGCAGACGTTTTTTAGTTTTAAAGTCCCACTTGTTTATTTTTGCTTCTGTTGCCCTTGCTTTTGGTGTCAAAATCAAAATCATTTCCAAGACCAGTGTTAAGGAGCTTATTGCCTATGTTTTCTTCTAGGAGTTTTATGGTTTCAGGTCTTACATTCAAGTTTTTAATCCATTTTGAGTTAATTTTTGTCTTATGGTGTAAGTTAGTGGTCCAGTTCCATTCTTTTGCATGTGGCTGTCCAGTTGTCCTAAATCCATTTATGGAAGAGACTGTCATTTCCCCATTGTATGTTCTTGGCTTCTTTGTTGTAAATTAATTGACCATAGATGCATGAATTTATTTCTGGGCTCTCTCTTCTGTTCCATTGATCAATGTGTATGTTTTTATGCCACT